AAATGACAAACTGGAAAAGGAGGCACAGAACGGCGTTTGTATCCAGACATTATCAGGCCGTTTTGTGGAAGGGACCGCCCATCTCTGGAGGAGACCTTGAGTCTGCAGTATGCAGGATAATTTTGTGGATATTTAATTAATTATATGGCAGCCGCATAGCCTGGGTGTTAAGAGCGAGTTCTGGGTTTAAACCCGGAAGTTGCTGGTGTAAAGTTACCTGACCTTCAAGGCCTTGGTCTTTTCCTGGTCAAATGGGGACAATCACAGCATCCCCTTCTTGGGGCATTGAGAATGGAATGTATTATGCGACTCCGATTGTGCCTAACACATAGTACACAATATAAGTTGGCTAATATTATTAATATAAAATACATGACTTTAATTTTCCCTGAGAATTACTATCGGGAAGAGGTCATAACAGGACAGCATTTTTACTCTACAAATGAAGCTGGTTTTGTCGGTGATGCTGTAATTCAATTAGACTACACTGGGTAGGAGTTTTTGAACATTAGGAGCATTTTCCTTGCCAATAGGACACAGTGTCTGAAATTAATTAAATGACAGTTGCTAAAGTGAAAAGTTTTCAGGACCGTATCTATACAAGCCCTGGACCAAGAATAACTTGGCATGTACTCTCCACAAAAATGAATCAACCTTTTTTTCCCCATAGAGGACTTTGTGATCTTCAGAATACTTGGCTACAACTTTACTTTTATAATACTGAAGCAGCCACAAGTATTTCAAAATTACAGGCCAAGAAAATAGAGGCAATGTTTTCTACAGTGCAATATTCCCATATCACGAAGTCTAGTCTTATTAAGAGCTGTATCTCCAAATGAATGGAGAGGAAAATTCCCTTGATATCCTCATTTGGACCACTTAATTTATGCAGAGAGAGAAAGAGAATGAGTAAATGAAAGAAAGGGGTAGAGGAGAGAGAGAGACAGATGGAGGGAGACTGACTAGAGTATCCCCCTTAACCACAGAAATTCTTGTTTCTTCCCCATTCTAAAGACAGAGAAAAGCTTGTGTTGCATTATGAACACCCAGTTACCCCAGCAGCCACCCAGTATGACTCTGAACACAAAGCTTCATAGCTGCTCTGCAAAAAAAATGGCAGTGTAGCATAACTGAAATCCTACAGCTTACCCCGTGACTTAAACAGAGTTTTGCTCAATGGCATGGAAGGCCAACCACCAAGATAGTCTTTCCAAGGGAAGTATCTTGAGTCCTAAACAGTCAATCTACAAATGAACCCCTGGATGGAACTGTTTATAACTTCATGACCATTTGGTATAATTTGAAAACGTCTTGCAGTTCAGTTTCCCCCACAGGAAAAATTTACGAAGTCTAAACAAAATTATCAAAGACTCAATTAACATCTCAGATTCTACACACAGAAGCCAAATAAAATACTTTCAACTATCATCACATTATTGGCCATTTTTCTAGTAATACCAGAGAAAATCTGTTATAGACGGCACATATACTATGACCGTACTTATTATATTTAAAAGTTTGACTGTACCCACTCTGCAGCAAGACATGTTATGTAGCTAGCCTTTATGTGACTTTTCTTTTGGTCTTTAGCTCAAGTACTGTGACACCATTCAGATGTAACAATGTATCTCTGTCAATCTGGCCCAGTAGGACCTTTCCCCATAGAATTTCCTTTCTCTAAGAATTCTGTTAGAATTCATTTGCTAGATTAGGTTTTTCTGTAAGTCTGAGTTACAAAAATGCTGAGGATAATTTCAGGTGTTTGTATAAAAGGATTCTTTAAAAATGGAAACAGCACAAGAGCTGATTAGAGCCAAATCTAAAATTAGATGGTTTCCCTTGATGGATGGCATAGCAACAGACTGATGATTGACGGTTCTCATCCTCACCTTAGTTCAATTTTAAGACAAACTCTCCCATGGAGGCACATAGAGAACGACTAAACAATTGTGGCAGCACCTTCAACTTGATAGGAGCAGCTTTGTAATTTTAACTTTTCAAACTTCATTCTCTCTGCAAAAGACAAGTGGTTACTGCGCTCCCTCAGGTGTGGTACAAGTTCATCTGACGAGGGGAATTAAACTACAGATCCTAAAGTTCTAGCAAACACTGCAGGATGCCCTGCCAGCACCTGCACCACACCGTTCCGAACGCCCACATTTGTTCAGGTACATGAATCAGGAAGGGGAACATTTGCACATTTATTGAAAAGAAATTAAATGGCAAGACTTGTTATGCGGCTGGAAAGTTGCATTCCATACTTTACATGGTAATTTCCAGACTTTATGTTTGGCGGTGGAGGGGAGAGAACAAAGAACGTTCCGTCCTCAGTGGCTTCCATATGGCCCCATGAGAGAAATCCATCATGAACGTGCCAAACTTCTAAAAGGCTCGTGATAGACTGCAGAGGATACCCAATGAGAAATTTCAATGTTCCAGGATGAGACAGAGCTGTTATTAATTTTAAAGGACGTCCCAGCCAAGCTGAAGAGCTCCTATGGCCAAGGCTGTACAAGTTGAACACAAATATAGAATAGAATCCAGAAAATAAAGCAAATCCTCCTGAGTTCATACTGCTCTAAATAAACGACTGAATAAATAAACAAAAGGACAAGGCGGAGTACTTCTTCCTTACAGAAGAATTCCAATTCCTAATTGTAGGAGGAATGAAGGAACTAGCGAAGTTACCATTAGAAAACGACCATAGTAACTGTCACAGGAGAGATCCACAGTTGAGTGCTTAAAATGTGGGGGTGTAAGTTGCATCATTTCAAAGACTCTCCCCTCAATTATTTCTTAATTGCAAAGGAAAACATGTTAGCAGTAGTTACCATGTTGGCAGTAGAGAAGCCAACAACCAGCACCTTAACCAAGTGATCAAAGTCAGCACCTTCAGCAGTAAAATGCAGGCATCCTGTGTCCTGGACATGAGGGACAGCGACAGAGGCCGGGGACACCGCTATTGGCAAAAGGCAAAACCTCAGTCCAGCCACGGGCAAACGAGACCAATCCAGACTGAGGGTCCCTCTACAAAACGCCTTCGTGAGTCACTCCTCAAGTGTCAAGGTCATGAGAGACAAGGAAAGACAGGGAACTGCTGCTGTTTGGGGGGAAACCAGGACATCCCCAATACCTCAGCTGCCACCCAAGGTGGATCCCGGATCGGAGCAGAGAGAGGATGGTGGTGGAAAAGACGTGGAGTGAAAAGTCTATGTTTAGCGGCTGGTATTGTGCCAGTGTCAGTTTCTTGGTTGTACTCACTGTACTGTATTTATGTAAGATGCTAATGTCGGCGAAGATGGTGTGGGATATGTAAGAACCCTGTGCTACCTTTTTCTCTCCTCTTTAAGCTTTCCACCATTTCAAAATAAAAAATTTAAAGTGAAAAACTAAGACATTTTAAAAACAGGTCTACTGCTCTGTGTCCAGAGTGCGTTGTACTTTGGAGAGTGAACATGAATATAAGTAGCCATCCTAACTGCCTTAGATGAAAGAAAATTTGTCCCCTTGACCTAGTTTCATTCCTCACTGGGCCAAGTATGAGCTGCGTGACCTGGGGCAAGTTCCTGCCACCCCACCTCTCTAAGGCTCTGTTTCCTTCTGTACACAAAAGGAGTATCTACCCCGGAGAGCAAGAAATGATGATTAAGTGAATGAGCTATATATACAGTGGGTTGTTGGAACCGGCCGGCAGGTTAACCAACACCGACCGTGGTGATGGAGTGAGACAGAATCTGAACAGCCCTCGCAGAGATCTCCTCCCACTGCGATGCCTGGGGGATCCCGTCCAGGCTCCCCCTCTGCAGGTCTGCTCAGAGCCTCTGTGACAACTTCCCCAGCTCCTCCCCACTCAGCCTCCTTCAGACGTTTCTTGAGCACTTACCGCGTGGCTTTGTATTATATTAGGAGAGTAGGAGCCCAGACACAGGAAAGAGTGGCCATTTGGATCCGTTTTCTGCCGTGTCATTTATAAAGGAAAGAGGCATTTCCGGTTATGGTCCTACGGGCCAGGAAGTCCAAAAGCGTGGTCCCAGAAGAAACTGGTGCTCATTTATTCAATTCATGGCAAACAGGAAAGGGTGCATGGGTGTGGAAGAGACAGAACAGGAGGGACGCCCTTGCTTGACAGCCCCCCTGAGGAAGGCAGTATTCCCTTCATCAGCCCAGTCACCTCTTAAGAACTCACAGCTTTTCAATAATGTTGCAATGAGAATGAAATCCCAACAGCAGCTTTGCTGGGGACAAACCACATCCAAACCACACCAGGGAGTCTCTTTTGGAGGAAAGAATACACGTGCTGGTCGTCTAGTGAGAGAACATGGTGTGCGAACGTCCTTCCTTCAAGCCCAGTCCTAGGGTGGCACCTAACCCAGCTGTGTGGAGTCTTCCTGGGGAAGAGGGGCTAAGGCTTCAAAGCAGGCTGGGTGGCGGGCAGGGGGAAGGTATAACAGGCAGACATGGGGAAAGTGTAAGCAGGAGCAGTCGAGGGCAGGCCATGGCAGGGATGTGAGCGAGTCCTCGCATTTGGTGGTGGGCTATAGTCGAGGTCAAGGGAACAGGACAGCCAGATCCGCATCCGAGAGAAGCACTCAGGAGGAAGGACCGGGAAGATGCGTTGATGGCAGGAGATCAAGGATAGTTGTGCTATCATTTAAGCACAAAATAATATCATTAATAAAGCAGTTATCACTGTTTCTATGTTATTGGGGCACTAATAGTAGGGAGGGAAAAAAGCAAGCTAAATTGAGAAATACAGCAGAGAAAAAACTGTCAGGATTTGATGTCCCATTTCTTCTTCTTCTTCCTTTTTAAGATGAGCATTTGAAAATTTTAATTGACACATAATTGCACATATTTATGGGCTACAACGTGATAATTTAATACATGTATGCAGTGTGTAATGATCAAATCAGGGTAATTAGCTTTTCCATCTCCTTGGACATTTATCATTCCTTTGAGCTCTTTTTCGTAAAACGTGCAGTCGAGTGTTATGCGCTGCAGTCACTGTGCCATGATGTAGGACATTAGAACTCACCCCCGCTGGATATTGGCACCCGCTCCCAAGCTCTCTCTGTCCCCTCCGCCTGGCTGTCTCTGTCTTGCTCCAGGGTGGACGGCTAAGCGTCTGTTGGGGGAGGAGGAAGTGTGTCCTCAGTCCGGGCTCCCGACCCACACGACCTCATGGGTGGCGGTGCCACTTGCCAACAAAGGAGATGGGGGTGAAGAAATGTGTTTTGGAGGAGGCTGGAAAGTGCCCGACAAATGGTGTATTCGTGTATTCCGCTGGATACAGGCTGAGTCTGAGTCATGCAGGAAGCATTTAATTCACACTTTCTACAGTCCCTAAGACACCTGGGTGCCGCTCAGGAGAGATGGGAGGGAGGGAGGGAGAAGTCCAGGTCACGAGCGTGGAAAATGCCATCTAGAGGCAGCGTGGAGAAAAAGCGTTTGCACCCAAGATAGCAAAAGTTCCGGGCGACGGTGGCCGTGGGGGCCCAAGAAAGACCTGTCCGAGAGAAAGAGCAGAGATGGGCCGGTCATCCAGGACCGAGAGGGTGAAGAGAGTCCTCGGGTTCAGGACAGAAGTGTCACAGGTGGCCTGAGGTGCTGTCTCCATTGAGTTTGGGGATAAATAATTCGATGGATTGAGAGTGAATGGGAGTTAAAGGAATGGAAAGCTTGAAATATCAGTAAGCTTGTCTCGTGATGATGGTGACGGGCGGTGATGGTGGTGGCTGCTCAGTTTTATTGAAGTCTCACAGGCAAAGATAGGGCTCTGTATGTTTTGCATTTAGCATTTTATTTAATTCAATTCTCTCAAAATTCATCTACTGTTCTCCCTGTCGCTTTAGAGACAAGGAAAGAGAAAAGGGACGGAGGGAGATGGGATTCCTAAATGTGTTTTGTGTTTGTTTTTGTTTCTGAAGGATGAGGCCAACTTGAGCATGACCACATCTAGAGTAAGGGTCGCAGAGAAGGGAGGGGTGAGACTAAGGGGCAGAGGGGAGCCCCCGGGGAGAGGTCTGGGGTCAAGTGCACAGGGGGAGGTGATGCCCAGAGCCGAGGGGAAGGGAAGGGGAGGAAGACAAGCTCACTGTGAGCCGCAGACAGTGGGCCAGAAGCTGCCATAGCTCAGCGTTTCCATCTCAGTTCCCAAAGAAGTCGGAGCCCAGTGCCTCTCCTGGGTGCCCTCATTCCTGGGGATCATCTGCCACAAGGGACCCAGTTCCCCATAGCCCCCCACCCCACAACATCCACTGTGGCTGGAGATCCAGGGGAGGGGGGCCCTGGACAGCCAGGGGACCCCACCTACGAGGCAGTCGAAGTCCGAAGTCAGAATCAGATGTTCCCCGACCAACAGCCGCGGCTCACAGTGCGGTATTTATTGTCTACACATAGCCTTCAAGGGGAGCTTGGCACCTCGGGGATGCACCAAGCCCTCGAGGGAGGCTTCTGGCACCTGTCTGGTTTTAAGGGACTCAGCTTCCAGAGCCTCAGACTTTTCTGCCTGAAGGAATGACTGGGGTCGTCCTGAGCTCCTTTCTTCTCTCCACTCAGCCCAGTCCCGCAGGGCAGCAGAAAGCAGGCCCCCACCAGCCTGTGCAGGGCAGGGTCCCAGGAGGGACACCCGGAGTGGCAGAGGGGTGCATCAGACTGAAGACGAGAGCAAGCGCAAGGGCTAACAGAGCGGTTCAAAGGAGAGAGCATAAACGCCGTCACACACATCTTCAGCTACAGCCAGTTTTGTGCCTCAGTTACTGTACCTGTACTCGTCTAAGAAAATAAGAGAAAAAGCAAGCAGGACAGAGAGAGGCAAGAAAGGGAATGGAAAAGAAGAAAAGGGAAGGGAAGAAGGGAGGAGGGAGATGAAGGAGGGAGGGAGAAGGGAAACACAGGAAAGGATGGAAAACTGCTGCTGAACCTTGTCTTATTTTACCAGTAGATAATATTTACGTACAGACACGTGAACTAATGGGGAAAATTCAGTCTGACTATCGAGGTTATTCCCCAGTGCCATTTTACTCTTCTGTGAAATATGTATCAGTGATGTACTTATGTTGTTTAATCTAAGCATATGTACCAATAATTATAAGGATAACTTAATCCCCGAAATACTTTTAAAAACTTAGAATTTTATGGTCACATAAAATGGACAAATAAGTTTAAATTTCATTGTATATACCCATTTTGTGGCAGAGAATTATGACAAGGTAATTAAGAAAGTATTTTCAAGCCTAAAAATATTCCGTTTGATAATATTCTATGGAGGAAGCAGAATGGAAATAGAAGTTTATGGAGACAAAGAAACAACAGAAAATATCTAAAAAGAAACATTTATTCTTGTACTTCTGAAATATATGATGGTAGATAGCAAATGCTTTGATATTTAAAAGCTACATATAAAAAGAAGTATACGTGTTTGATTATAAAAAGGAACATATACATCATGCCTGAAATATACATCATGCCTGAAATTACATGCTGCGTAATTATTTAAATTTAGGTAAACATTTTAGATGTGAATTTAAAAATATGCACGGAGCACATAGTTTTTCTAAAGTGTGTTTAGGTAGGGACAGAAGCAAAAAGCAACAACCAGGAGCTTCCATTCTCTCCTCCACATCGGTTCTAACAATCCTTCTGGATGATTTTTTTTTCTTTAAAGGAAAGAAAGAAAAAAAAAGAGGTATGAGAGAGGGCGCAAAGGCTTTGTTGATGTATCAGGGAATGTTTTTGAAACACTAAATGGGAGATCCAGAGCCACAGTTCCCAGAGGTATATGTACATTTACTAGGGGCCCCCAGGGTACACGCAAGCCCTGATTAGATGCAAAACATCTGTGGGTGAGACTGATTATTTGTCACCAGAAGGAGAATCTAACGAAGTTGTGGTGACTTCCCCGAGGGCATCTTCCTAGCGATCAATATTCAGAACATTCACCAGCTCTAATGGAGGAAGCATGTTCAGTCTTTGGCTCTGAAATCTCAGTGTTGGGCCCCTGGCTTTCCAAACGAGGAAGTGGATATGGGGGTGGCTTGGGATGTAGTACAGTGGTAAAGTGCTTGCCTGGCATACCCGAGGCCCTGGGTTCGACCCCCAGCAACACCAAGAAGGAGGAGGAAGAGGAGGAACAGGAGCAGGGAGAGAGGGAGGAGAGGAGGAAGAGGAATTAAGAGGAGAAAGAAAAAGAAAGTTATTGCATATGACATGTGCTAATCACTTCCAAGAAGAACCTGCAAAGGGGCCTGGCGGAGCCCTAACATCCTTTAAACGAAGGGAATCCTGTGAGAAACGCGAGCTGAAAGAGTAGGAAAAGAAATCCCAAACTTGCAGTTACTGAAACTTGAAGAACTATTTAAATGCTCAGTTTGGTGGTGTTAGGCGATCTCCCCGAGGCACATTTCCATAAGCACAATTTTACAAAATGCACCTTGATTATGATCTGCAGATTTGATTGGACGAGGCTTCCTTCCATGGGACTGCACAGCATTTTGGAACAATTTCCAGTAATCTGGAATCAGTACCTACACTCACAATCTGTCCTTCAGAGTCAGAGGCAACCTCCAGGAAGAAATAATGAATCAAGACAAGGGCAGCAGGCTCTCTTTTGGCAACCAGAACGTTTTCAGTCATATTTTTGCATCTTAAAGAGGTGTTCAGCTGCCTCACATATTTTTAGAATTATTGGTACTTATTGTATCAAGTTAATCTACTGCTTAATCGCTCACCTGTTAATTTGGAATCACTGTTCCTGCTGTGTGCTTGACCAAAACAGTGACTAAGAGTCTGCAGGGGTCGTGAGCAAGTAGATTAAAAGCTGGTGGGGGCATCATATGCAAAGTAGCCCCCCAGTTAAGGATATCCCACTGTGAATGCGCCCAGCACTGCCAGAGGGATAAGACGAGGCGCTCACAGTCTTGGCCTCCTGAGAGACAAAGGCTTTTAGCACCGGCCAGACGCCTTGGCGACTGACCCAGAGAGGCGAATGTCACCTGTGCACAGGCGAAAGCATCTCTCTGTGTTTCCCAAGAGCAGGCAGTTTTCTGTCATTGTCGTTCAATGCCTGTATGGGGCGTGTTCATCCAGCATCCCGAGTCGGAATTGATACTGTATTTCCCCACGGCCTCATCCCATCAATTGCAAGTATAATCAAATTGTATTTTTATGGTACCTTTCAGTTTTGCAGAACTCTCAGGCTTTTGTCCTCTGGCTGGGTGCACTCTGCTTACAGCTGAAGGCATGGATCTTTCAACCTTGTGATTATTTTTTTTTAATAGCTATGTAGGATGGTGCAAGTCTTCTAAAATGTATACTTAGAAGCCTTTTTGGAAAGCATCATTTTGCTAGTTATGGTATGGCTGCAATCCAGTATGCCATTTGCAGGTGGGAGGGGATTTCTACCTGTCTCTAAAGGCAAAAGAACTCCTCGGTCATCTAAGGTACCCTCCATCCCCTCCCAACTTCGGGCTATTTATGACCACTTCTGCATTTTGTCTCTGTGCCTCCTATTATCACCATTTCTCACCATTCAAATCCAACAGCGAGACTCGTTAAAATTCTATTTAGAATAAGAATATACGGCTTCATCTAACTTTTCCGGGAGGAAGAAGGACATGCTGCAGTACAAAAGCTTTATAACATCTATTTTGGCTGTTCAGTGGCATTTCTCATTTTGTGGGATTTGGCATTTGGGATAAAAGAATCATTAAGTTATCTTAGATAGGAAAGGTGCTGCTTTTCAATACTTCAAAAGAATTATGAGTTAAATAGGCTTACAATGGCCGTCTTGGGTACTGAACTGACATTGTATTTTTAACATGAGAAAAATGTATTTAAAATTCTAAATAACTGGCTCGCTCACCAGCTTCTACAATACAGCCCATTCTTATATTGGGAACTTCTGCTACTCTCACAGGTTTTATTTCTCTGGGTTGCTTGGCAACAGAAATGTGGTAAGAGATGTCAGAGGTTAAGGATGGGACGAAAGTCATTATGGGAAGCTAGCCCTTATCAGCATTTTCCATCCAACTTTGTAATCTTGGAAATAAAATAGGGTTTCATTGTATTAAATGTGTGTACTTTTGTCTTATCAAATGCCAACTTTTTAGAGACATTTTCCTCTCTCCATATGAATCCATTACACATAGGGAATTATAATTATGTGCACTGCTTTGAAATGGACGTCTTTATTACACTGGCAGACTTTGAAGGTTAAAGGGAACACTTCTCTCCTGTCATCAGTGACTGAAATGCAGCTGTGACACTTTTGAAAACATCTCAAGAAGTATCGGAGCAAACACTGGATCTCAATATCCTCACTTTGAGCCATTAGTTAATGTTGAATTAAATTCCAATTTCAAATAATATATGTCTGCCTATTAGAAGATTCTTTTCAGTAAAAGGAGTGCAAAAGATTCGGTAGGTTTCCTTGTCACTATTTTGAAATGGGGAGAGATGTGATAAAAATGTAAGCAACACTCTGAAATTTACTTTTTCCAGGCTGTTCTGTACCAAATGCTCAGCTCTGGAGATTCATTGCTCATACATAGTTAATTGTATTGTGGCATGATGTATTTAAGACCTATTTTCCAGTGGGGATAACA